CGACACGTGTACCGAGACGAGTGGGGTTGAAAGTAATGGAGGCATCCACGGAATCAATGAGATGTCGATGGAGGGAGAAATCGTCAGGAGGCGCAGAATCAAGAGGGAGGAGATCAAAATATTTGGCCCACGAAGCGGGACCAAACAAGGCTTGATAGGTAGCAGAACTGGAAGGAATCGAGCGAGGGCGGCCGTGACGAAGACGGCGGTGAGAACCCCCAGAGAGAGAGGGGTTAAAAGGCGCAATAGTTACAACTAGAGAAGGAGCCACGCCAGGGGACGAGGTAGTCACCACTGGGGGCTTGGGGCTCGACCCAACCACAGAGGAGGGAGGGGAGCCAGAGGAAGGAGTCAGAGAGGCCAAAGGAGGAGCAAGGTCGGGGCCCAATGCAGCGGAGGCTACAGAGCCCGGTCTTCCAATACGGACCGACTCGGGGGCTTGGTCGCCCACCCCACGAGCCTGAGAAGGCAAACCAGAAGAAGCCGAAGCAGGGGTAATCATCTTGACGAAAGAAAGAATTCACTCACGAATGTGCCCCCACACCCACCATGGAGCCACAATTAGAGGCAGGACACCCAACAAGAAGCTATCGCCGATCTTGTCGGGGCCTCCTAGGGGTGCGTCGCGAGTATACGCCCCACAAACGCCACCTTAAGAAACCGACAGTCCGTCGAGATCGGGTTCAGTGACGAAGTGGGGATTGACAATAAAAGGTTCCCCTCGCTCTCGACGTCGGGTACTGCAGTTCTACGGGTGCATGAGTATGCCTCCTCAAGCACCCGGGCGTCAAAATAGAAGAAGTCCAAGGGAAGAACCAGAACGAGCAAAAGGTCGGTAGGAAACGGCAAGCAGATAGGAGAAGAGGGGGGAGAAAAACGAAACAGAAGGAAAAGGAAAAGATGCCCAGCAGAATTGGAGAGGACGGCAGCAGGAGCACAAGGCTAGAAAAGGACAGAGGACTGTCCCAAGGAGCATCACACTCCGGCAGCCGCCCACTAAGCCCCCACACGGCGACAACGAGCTGAGCGGGGAGGGGGCGTCCTCCCAGCAAGCATAAGAAATATTGCCGGAACAACCGTGGACATTTTCAAGAGGAAACTAGATTTATTCCTCCAAGGAGTGCCGGACCAACCGGGCTGTGGTGGGTATGTGGGCCTGCGGGCCGCTCCAAGCAACAGCCTGGTGGACCAAACTCTCACAAGTCGAGCCTGGCCTCGGGCCGGGCTTGGGGAGTAGAAGAACTCCCAGAACCCCATCAACCAGGAATAAACCAGTTGAAACTCTTGATGGTATCTGTAGACTAGGTATTCATCCACCTTCTTGTTTCGTGATGGATTATCTTGAAGGGAGAGCTTTACATCTCCTATTTTCTGTTGTAGAAGATCATCCACAACATTCTGAGGCTTTCTTGAAACGTACACAAATGAGGAATTAACATGGGAACATAGCAGATCTACAGAGCCAGATGTGTGCGTCTGGCTCAACTACATGCTACGATCCAATCTTATCAGCCAGAGTTGTGCCTTTAGGAAGGCCAAACGCGTATACTCTCTCTTCGGTGCTAGTGAAGCTCGTCCACCCCTGTTGTTCGCTAAGCTTTTGCTTCAGTTGTTGTCTTCCCTGGCTTCTAGTTAACACTGTCACAAACCCATCATTGTGTGTTGAGATGAGGGTGTCATTGGTCATGTTGGTGGAGAGCCATGATGGTTCAGCAGCTACCTCCTCCATACTTGGTTCTTCAGGTGACATTCTTTGGAGTAATTTTGCCTAATTCCTGGTTAATACCATTTGATGATGATTAACATGACATTTGGCAGAACAGGCTGCATGCCTTTAACAGTCATCAGTGCCAACAGTCAGGCAGACCTATTATAAGGTATAAGGGGGAGAGCGCTCTCGGTGGCCCTAAATAAGACTAACAACTGAGGTTTAAGTATGCCAGAGGAGAATAGTTCTTATAGCACAGTATAATAGGACCTGGGCTGCCACCCTAAGTGATCACCGGTCTCTTGGTTAAACGTATGGTGAGGTTGACTTGTGGTTGGGTCGGGCTGCCACCCCTCACACACACACACACAAACACACTGTAAATGTAGAGCTGGACTTCATCACGCAGAAGTGCAAGGAAGCAGCAAACGAGTTTGTCCCAGTCCAAAAGGAAAATCAGTGAAATGAAGATGAGGAACCCATGGTTTAATCAGAGATGTAAGTTAGCTAAGCTGCAAAATAAAAGGGCATGGAGAAACTATAGGAATAACAGGATACTTGAGAGCAGAGAAAGATATCAGAGTGCCAGGAATGAATATATCAGGATGAGAAGAGAGGCAGAAAGAATATACGAAAATGACATCGCAAGCAAGGCAAAGACTCAGCCTAAATTGCTGCACAGCCACATCAGGAGAAAACAACAGTAAAGGAGCAGGTTATGAAATTAAGGTTAGGGGCAGAAGGATTCACTACAAACGACAAGAAAGTGTGTGAGGAACTGAATAAGAAATTCCAGGAGGTCTTCACCTTAGAGCAAGGAGAAATTCCAGATATAAGAGAGGGAATAGTTAACCAGGAATCACTGCAAGAGTTTGAGATTACCAGCAGGGATGTAAGGAAGTGTTTACTAGAGTTGGGTGTGACAAAGGCTATAGGCCCAGATGGAATCTCCCCATGGATACTAAAGGAAGGAGCAGAAGAACTGTGCTTGCCACTCTCCATAGTGTATAACAAATCACTGGCAACAGGGGAACTGCCAGTAATTTGGAAAGCAGCTAACGTAGTCCCGATATACAAGAAAGGTGATAGACAGGAGGCACTGAACTACAGGCCAGTGTCCCTAACCTGCATACCATGCAAGCTGATGGAGAAGATTGTGCGAAGAAAGCTAGTGGAACATCTGGAGCGAAAGAACTTTGTAACACAGCATCAACATGGATTCAGGAATGGCAGGTCCTGCCTCACAGGGGTTACTTGAATTCTACGACCAGACAACAAAAATCAGGCAAGAAAGAGAAGGGTGGGCAGACTGCATATTTTTGGATTGCCAGAAAGCCTTTGTTACAGTACCATACAAGAGGCTAGTGAAAAAGCTGGAGATGCAGGCTGGAGTGAAAGGGAAGGTACTCCATTGGATAAAGGAGTACCTAAGCAACAGGAGACAACGAGTCAGTGTGAGGGGTGAGGTCTCAGATTGGCGAGACGTTACAAGTGGAGTCCCGCAGGGGTCAGTCCTTGGACCTATACTGTTTCTGATATATGTAAATGATCTCCTAGAGGGTATAGACTCGTTTCTCTCAATGTTTGCGGATGCAAAAATAATGAGGAGGATTGAAACAGAGGATGATAGTAGGAGGCTACAAGATGACCCAGACAGACTGAGTGAATGGTCCAACAAATGGCTGTTGAAGTTCACCCCGAATAAATGCAAAGTAATGAAACTAGGCAGTGGAAACAGGAGGCCAGACTCAGCATACAGAATATGAGATGAAGTACTTAATGAAACGAACAGAGAGAAAGATCTAGGAGTTGATATCACACAAAACCTGTCTCCTGAAGCCCACATAAAAAGAATAACGTCTGCGGCATATGCGAGGCTGGCTAACATCAGAACAGCGTTCAGGAACCTGTGTAAGGAATCATTCAGAATCTTGTACACCACATATGTAAGACCAATCCTAGAGTATGCGGCCCCAGCATGGAGCCCGTATCTTGTCAAGCACAAGACGAAGCTGGAAAAAGTTCAAAGGCATGCCACTAGACAAGTCCCGGAGCTAAGAGGAATGAGTTACGAGGAAAGACTGCGGGAAATGCACCTTACGACACTGGAAGACAGAAGAGTAAGGGGAGACATGATCACAACCTACAAAATCCTCAGGAGAATTGACCCGGTAAATAGGGATAAACTATTCAACACTGGTGGTATGCGAACAAGTACCCACATGAGCCACAGGGACGTTAGAAGGAACTTTTTTAATATCAATAGTTAACGCATGGAATACATTAGGCAGTGATGTGGTGGAGGCTGACTCCATACACAGTTTCAAATGTAGATATGATAGAGCCCAGTAGGCTCAGGAATCTGTACACCAGTTGATTGACAATTGAGAGGCGGGACCAAAGAACCAAAGCTCAACCCCCCGCAAGCACAAATAGGCGAGTACAAATAGGCGAGTACACACACTGCTTTGTGTTACAAATCCGGATAGGCTCTTGGAAGTCCTATTTGTGCTCACTCTACTGTTCCTACCTATAGGCTCAGAGCTGCCTAAAAATGTTGGCTCTTGAGACTCAAGCTAAGCCTATTTAAGTATTTTGCCACTCTCGCACATAAGCTCCGCATTTCTCTAAGAAACCCTATTAAGGCATTGCCAGCAAGATTCACTTTGCTTATTGTTGTGAGATGGACTCTATGGTGGGGAACAGTGAGCAAGCATTATTGATAAGAGATCATATTCAATGTCCAAGGGTGTGGTTTGGCTACTATGGCGAGGAGCACCTGATTCTCACGTCTGCTCTGCCCAGAGGATGAGAAGAGACTGATGAAATTTTGCAACTTAAAGGGATTCAAATACTACCAATAATAATAATAATAAAGAATGCTTAAATAAGAAAAATAAACCATATGGTCAGATGCATGACATAACCCACTAATGGGCCTAGTGAATTAAGGCGCGCGTCTAGAATGCATCAGGACGCTGGTTCAAATCTCCACACTATTCCCTGATTTTCTCAATAATAATAATAACAACAGTAATAATGATAAAATAATCACATCCCGCTACTCTTGTCCTACATTTTATAACTCTTGCGCTCATAACATAATTCCTGTTCACTGTGTTACAAAACATTTGACGGGTGCCCAGTAATCTGTTTGACCTTAAATACTTACCATGTCTCCCCAGCACCTGTCAAAAGCCCCATAAACTGTATTATTTGATCTATAACTAATGACTTCTGGTCACAGCTCATAAGCCCCAGGTTTGAACTTGGAAACTCTCTGTTTTGCCACCTGTCGTCGTCGGTGATGTCGAGGCTGTCCTTCCTGCAGACTGTGTCGTACTTGGTGATGATGGACCTGGCGGGCCGGAGTCTGGCGAGGACCCGCCTCACCGCCGGCTCCCCAACCTCGAAGGCGTACCCGCCTCGCGTCCTCGGGTAGTCCTTGTCGATGGTTCCTGTACGCAAACATCACCTTCATTTATTTCATCTAAACTGAATATGGAGTAATATTGCACAAACGTTTGATTGCATAAATGTTGAGATGCACAAACGTTAGGGAATAAAAAAAAGCATTTGATTTCACAGATGTTTAGTTATGCAAACTCTCATTATACGTCATCTGAACACACATCCAACAGGCCTGAGTTGAGGTGGACTTTACCAGTGACAGCTCCATCACAAAGGTTATGGCTTTAGAGTAAATGTTGTGACAGTAACACCCAGCAGAAGAACCTGACAATAACACAGACTCGCTGGTGACACCTGCCAACGTGGCTACAAGTCACAGCTTGAAATTATATTAGTAATTAACATCTTTATTGACAATTAATATTCAATTTTGCCTAATCGGAATAAATCAATTAGGTGTTATTACAGTGAGGTGCTTCTCGTATTCCCCCTCCACACAGTACAGAGGATCATACACAAGACAACAGTCTAAATTGTTGCTTGAAACATGCTCTTTTTATCATGAGATTACAATCTAGTAAATCAGAAGGCATTATACATATTTCAATGTAATTTTTTTTAAATGCAACTGTTTATTATTTACTACCACACAAGTAAGGGATGGATTCATAAGAGAATCAGCTTGAAAATAATAAATTAACTAATTTCTCGTTCTTCATTCATAAAAGTGGACAAGCAAATTTTGGATAAAGTGTTACGATGTTTTCCAATATTCCAGAGTCAATGAAACAGTTAAATAGTTGATTGTACAGCAGACCAGATGTAAGAATTTTACAGTTCCACATTCAATAATGTAGTATTCAGGTGAATGTTTTAATGGTTTGTCATAAAGTTTACAGGCTGTCTATTCTGGTAGTGGCTCACCGCACAATAGCAGACTTGTAGATGTTACCACTGCTAGGCTTAGGCTCGCCTACAAGTATCTCTGGGAGTTTATAACATCTGATGATGTAGATTTGACTAAATGTAAACTGTCAGCAGAACTATTCGCATACTTTGCGTCATTATAAAATGGAAAGTGAAAAAATCGCTGATATTCAGAGATACAACCATCGATGAAGTCCAAGAAATGTATAAGTACTACATTCATAATGATGTATTGTCGGGAATCTTAGAGAATTATCTAAAATTTACTTACTGTTGGTAATGCATGTATGACTGTGAAGCTGCCGCCCAGTTGGGTGGGTGTGAGAGTAAGACTAGTAACTGTGTGACTCACCATAGATGTAAAGTGCCTTGCATAGTGACTTGTGAGCCTTTTGTTAAATCAATTGTGATATAAAAAGATTACCAATATGTATATGTATTTGTGTAATTAACTTGATATACATGTACATGTGTAAAAAAAATTGTGTAACTAGCTTCAAAAGATTGTCACTTGCTTAGCTAAATGAACAATTGGGTTCAGTTTCTGAACCCATTATGTGCCTCTGTAACCCATTCCACCACCGCCCACGGGAGAGGTATGGGGTGCATAATAAAGAAACTGAATTGGATCGGTCTCACTATCCTGCCAGATGATCCTATAGCCGAGGCAAACATAAGAATGAAGGTAACGGCAGAAGGACTATTGGCCAATACGAGGAAGCTCCTAGCTTATATCCACCCAATCTCATTCATATATGTCTAACCTACGCTTGAAATAATCAAGGGATCCTACTTCTATTACGTTATGCAGTAATTGGTTCCACAAATCAACAACCCTGTTACCAGACCAATATTTACCCAGGACTTTCCTAAATCTAAAAACTTTTCCAATTTATACCCATTGTTTCATGTTCTGTCTTGTGTTGATACTTTTAATACCCTATTAATATTCCCTTTGTTATGACCATTCATCCACTTGTAAACCTCCATCATGTCACCCCTAACTCTTCGCCTTTCCAGTGAAAGCAGATTAAGCTTTGTTAATCTTTCTTCATATGATGTTTCTAATTTGCTGGATTAACTTTGTTATCCTACGCTGGACGCGTTGAAGTGAATTTATACCCATTCTATAGTACGGCGGCCAAAACTGAACTGCATAATCTAAATGGGGCTTAACGAGAGCAAGATATAACTGAAGAACAACACCAGGTGTCTTGTTAAGAACATAAGAACATAAGAACAAAGGTAACTGCAGAAGGCCTATTGGCCCATTCGAGGCAGCTCCTATTCTATAACCACCCAATCCCACTCATATACTTGTCCAACCCGCGCTTGAAACAATCGAGGGACCCCACCTCCACCACGTTACGCGGCAATTGGTTCCACAAATCAACAACCCTGTTACTGAACCAGTATTTACCCAAGTCTTTCCTAAATCTAAACTTATCCAATTTATACCCATTGTTTCGTGTTCTGTCCTGTGTTGATACTTTTAATACCCTATTAATATCCCCCTTGTTATGTCCATTCACCCACTTGTAAACCTCTATCATGTCGCCCCTAACTCTTCGCCTTTCCAGTGAATGCAACTTAAGCTTTGTTAATCTTTCTTCATATGAAAGATTTCTAATTTGGGGAATTAACTTAGTCATCCTACGCTGGACACGTTCAAGTGAATTTATATCCATTCTATAATGTGGCGACCAAAACTGAACTGCATAATCTAAATGGGGCCTAACTAGAGCAAGATATAGCTTGAGAACCACACCAGGTGTCTTGTTACTAACGCTTTGATTAATAAATCCAAGTGTCCGATTTGCCTTATTACGAACATTTATGCATTGATCCTTTTGTTTTAAATTCTTACTAATCATAACTCCCAGATCCCTTTCGCAATCCGACTTCGCAATCACAACACCATCTAGCTCGTATCTTGTAACTCTATCATCATTACCTAACCTCAGAACTTTACATTTATCAGCATTAAACTGCATCTGCCAATCCTTTGACCATTTCAAAACCCTATCTAGAACAACTTGAAGTGATAGTGAGTCCTCCTCCGAATTAATTTCCCTACCGATTTTCGTATCATCGGCAAATTTGCAAATGTTGCTACTCAAACCTGAATCTAAATCATTTATATATATTATAAACAACAGAGGTCCCAGGACAGAGCCTTGAGGCACTCCACTTACAACATTTTCCCACTCTGACTTGATTCCATTTATACTAACTCTCTGTTTCCTTTGGTATAGCCATGCCCTAATCCAGCTTAATATAGCACCCCCAATACAATGAGACTCTATCTTTTTAATCAGTCTTTCATGTGGCACTGTATCAAAAGCTTTGCTAAAGCCAAGGTACACAACATCGCAATCCTTACCACTATCAACTGCCTCAACAATGCTAGAATAAAAAGATAACAAATTTGTTAAACATGAACGGCCATTTATAAAACCATGTTGAGACTCAATTATTAATTTATGTTTTTCAAGATGAAGACGAATTTTATTTGCTATTATAGATTCGAGTAACTTTCCCACAATAGACGTTAGGCTAATTGGTCGATAGTTAGACGCAAGTGATCTATCTCCTTTCTTAAAAACTGGTATCACATTAGCAACTTTCCAAAACTCTGGCACTCTGCCTGACTCTATTGATTTATTAAATATGGTTGACAGTGGGTCACAAAGCTCCTCTTTGCATTCTTTAAGCACCCTGGCAAACACTTCATCCGGCCCTGGGGATTTGTTTGGTTTGAGTTTTACTATTTGTTTAAGAACATCCTCCCTAGTAACTGTTAAACTCGTCAACCTGTCCTCGTCCCCACCCACATAGACTTGTTCAGCTGAAGGCATATTGTTAAGTTCCTCTTTAGTAAATACAGATACAAAATATTTATTAAAAATACTACTCATCTCTTCATCACTATCTGTTATTTGACCTGTCTCAGTTTTTAATAGACCTATCCTTTCCCTAGTCTTAGTACGATATAACTGAAAAAAACCTTTAGGATTTGTCTTTGCTTGCCCTGCTATGCGAACTTCATAGTTTCTTTTTGCTTTCCTTATCTCTTTTTTAACATTTCTAACCAGTTGTACGAATTCCTGTTCTAAAGTGACCTCCCCATTTTAATCCTTTTGTACCAAGCTCTCTTTTTACCTATAAGGTTCTTCAAATTCTTTGTTATCCACTTTGGGTCATTAGTATTCGATCTATTCAATTTGTATGGTATACTACGTTCCTGTGCTTTGTTTAGAATATTCTTAAATAAGTTATATATTGAATCCACATCGAAATCCCCATTTAAGTCACCTATCGCTGGGTTCATGTCTCGCTCCAAGACCGGCCCACACCCCATACCCAAGACTTTCCAATCAATTTGACCCAAAAAATTTCTTAGGCTATTAAAATCAGCTTTTCGAAAATCTGGCACTTTAACAGAATTTTCTCCTACTGGTCTATTCCATTCTATGCTAAATCTGATTTCTTTGTGATCACTGTTCCCTAGCTCACTCCCTATTTCGATGTCATTAATTTGCGTTTCCCTGTTAGTTAACACTAAATCTAAAATATTATTTTCCCGTGTTGGTTCCTTAATGTGTTGTGTAACAAAGCAATCGTCAATTAATTCTAGAAAATCTTCTGCTTCACTATTCCCTGTTTTGTTCAACCAGTTTATTCCGCTAAAATTAAAGTCACCCATGACGTAAATACTGTTAGATCTAGATGCTCTAGATATTTCATCCCATAGGTGCTTTGCTTCCATTCTTTCTAAATTTGGTGGCCTATATATTACTCCTATTATAATATTATTAGCTTTTTCGTTTAATTCTATCCAAATAGTTTCTGTGTGTGGCTCTGTTTTGATTCCCTCTTTGAGACTACATTTCAAATTGTCCCTAACTTATATGGCTACTCCACCTCCTCGTCTAATATATCTATCTGTGTGAAATAGTTTAAATCCATATATTTGATATTCAGCTAATAGTTCTCTATTTTCTACATTCATCCACGTTTCGGTAAGTGCAATAATATCTATTTTTTCTGTGCAGACAAGAGCATTTAATTCGTTAATTTTATTTCTTAGACTTCTACTGTTAGTGTAATATACCCTAAGTGAATTGTTATTTTGCGGACCTTCTCTTTCCCTGATCGTTTTGCCAATTCCTTTCTCCCACAAACACATACTTTTATTACCTCCTTCCTCCAAATCAATTCCCATACCTCTATCTACTAACAGTTTAAACCCAAACAAACACCTCTAACCACTTCTTCCAACGAGTTCGCAACAGCAACAACCCCAGCTCTCGATAGATGCACCCCATCACGAGCATACATTTCATTTCTTCCATAGAAGTGTTCCCAGTTGTCTATGAAAGATATTGCATTTGATTTGCAATATCTTTCCAGCCGGCAATTGACACCAAGTGCCCTCGATATCCATTCATTTCCCACTCCCTTTCCATCACTCCCCACTAACGCTTCGATTAATAAATCCCAGTGTCCTATTTGCCTTATTACGAACATTTATGCATTGAGTTTTTAGTTTTAAATTCTTACTAATCATAACTCCCAGATCCTATTCGCAATCAAGAAAATCTAGCTCTTAATCTTGTAACTATCATCATTACCGAGCCTTAAAACCTTACATTAGTTAGCCTTAAACTGCATCTTCCAATCTTTTGACCATTTCAAAACCCTATTTAGATCGTTTTGAAGTGATAGCGAGTCTTTTTAACAGAGGTCCCAGGACAGAACCTTGAGGCACTCCACTTACAACATTTTCTCCACTCTGACTTAACTCCATTTATACTAACTCTTTGTTTCCTTTAGTATAGCCATGCCCTAATCCAATTTAATATAGCACCCCCAAAACCGTGAGCCATCTTATTAAACAATCTTCCATGTGGCACTGTATCAAAAACTTTGCTAAAGCCAAGATATACAACATTACAAACTTTCCCACTATGAACTGCCTCAACTGTGCTGGAATAAAATTATAGAAAATTTGTTAAACATTAACGGCTATTAGTAAAACTATTTTGTGAATCATTTATTAATTTATGTTTTTCAAGATGAAGACGAATGGTATTTGCAATTATCGATCCAAGTAACTTTCCCACAAAAGACATTAAGCTAATTGGCAGATAATTTGACGCAAGTGATCTATCTCCTTTTTTGAAAACTGGTACCACATTAGCAACCTTCCACGACTCTGGCACTTTGCCTGACTCAGATGAAGCTGCAATCTGAGTCACTCTGCGAATGACTACATCACATTGCATTATTAAATGCAATGTGAGCAATGCATTAATAAATGCAATGCATCTAATGCATTATTAAATGCATTAGATGATTTATTTAGTGCAAGGAATATCGTAATCAGTGCAACCCGTCCTCACACTAACCTGTTTAAAGCAGCTGCCGTCTTCCCAAGACGCATTCATCAATTTTAATTTACTGTGTATTAAACATTGGTTTGTTTTAATATTTAAATTAATATTATTGTACATAAAAATTCTATGCATAGCTAGGCGTAGGCTAGGTATTTATATGCTGTTGACGATTATTTGTATTTAAAGTACGTGGGTGAAGAATTTATAAAATTGTGATTCGAACTGAGGACGTGAGCGAAGCACATGTTCTGGAAGTGTTCGAACGTCATCAGTTGCGAGTCGTGTGTAAACCGTTTTTTCCATTCATAAACAGGGGATTTGGAGGTGCATGAAATGGACTTTAGCCTTTGTTTATGAGGACGGGTTAGGTAACCAATGCCCAAATAATCACAGTATGCGTGTATATAATAATATTAATTTATATTTGAGAAAATTCCTGTTTTGAATGAACAGCATGTTAAAATTATTGAATGCATCTTTGGGGTCGAGCGCTGGATGGAATGGACTTTATCTGAGATCAGGTTGCAACATCTTTCTTTAATCATGGCAGCTTTACTGTTTATAAGCTTAGAAGCACCTATGAGGTTGGTTATAACAATAATAACCTTTGGTTGTAAAGGTTTGAAGCTCTTTATCTGTTTAATAAATGTAAACTAAACCGCCATTATTTAGGCAAGATGTACTGGTTTCGTAAATGGTCCCATAAATGCTTAATGAATCCCGGCTCAGGTGGCCATGTGAACCACGTGACCGTGGGAGACAAGCCCACATGATAAAATAATGCATTCCTACAATGATATTAACTACACGAGATGTTTTCCCACTAAATATATATAAAATTTTGTTATAGATAATTTGTAATATGTATCTCCAGTTATCAGAAGATAAGAGAAGACTGACGCCTCGAGGTTGTAGCGGCCGGTATACAGCAGAGGTCCGTAGTGCGACCACAGGGACCCCGCCTCCATGTTGGGGCTGCATGCCGTGCCCAGTGCTTGTTGGACCACCCCTCCCCCCGTCTCTTTCTCTGTCTCTCTCTCTCTCTCTCCGTCTCTCTCTCTCTCCGTCTCTCTCTCTCTCTCTCTCTCTCTCTCTCTCTCTCTCTCTCTCTCTCTCTCTCTCTCTCTCTCTCTCTCTCTCTCTCTCTCTCTCTGTCTCTCTCTCTCTCTCTCTCTCTCTCTCTCTCTCTCTCTCTCTCTCTCTCTCTCTCTCTCTCTCTCTCTCTCTCTCTCTCTCTCTCTCTCTCTCTCTCTCTCTCTCTCTCTCTCTCTCTCTCTCTCTCTCTCTCTCTCTCCCTCTCTCTCTCTGTCTCTCTCTCTCTCCCTCTCTCTCTCTGTCTCTCTCTCTCTGTCTCTCTCTCTCTCCCTCTCTCTCTCTGTCTCTCTCTCTCTCTGTCTCTCTCTCTCTGTCTCTCTCTCTCTGTCTCTGTCTCTGTCTCTCTCTCTCTCTCTCTCTCTCTCTCTCTCTCTCTCTCTCTCTCTCTCTCTCTCTCTCTCTCTCTCTGCCTGCACAGACACATGCTCACTTGCACACCTCTATCAGCCAACTAACTCACCTCCCATCTGGAGAATAAGGATCTCCTCCATTGTTGTGTTGAGGTGCTTCTGTCGTCGTATGATCTTGCGTCCTCTGGTTATACTTGACGCACACCTCGGACTGATCTTGCGTCCTCTGGTTATACTTGACGCACACCTCGGACTGATCTTGCGTCCTCTGGTTATTCTTGACGCACACCTCGGACTGATCTTGCGTCCTCTGGTTATTCTTGACGCACACCTCTGACTGATCTTGCGTCCTCTGGTTATTCTTGACGCACACCTCTGGCCTGTGTGACTCGCCTGACGGAACCAGGAAGAAGGTGGAGTCACTGTGCATTTTTTTTGTTACATATTTATATATACATATACGGGCAAGTCCTTAATCCTAACTATCCCCGGAATACGACCTGCCAAAATCGTTTAACAACCAGTTACTCATTCACTGCTGGGTGAACAGAGGCTACAGTTAAGGATTGGCGTCCAGGATACGAACCCTGGCCAAAGCGTTTGCGAAGAGCCAGGCGAGTGCTTTACTACTGTGCCATGGGGACTGCTAGCTTCCTGATGTCACTCTCACATGTACTTGTCAACACAGATTTTATTATTTTATTAACAAATGAACCACAGATATACATCGATAATACTACACAGATGGTATACTGCAGTCCCCGTGGCGAAGTGGTTACACACTCGCCTGCCATTTCATGAGTGCTTTGGCCTGGGTTCGTATGCTGGTCGGGAAGGATTGACTGGGCGCCAATCATTAACTGTAACCCCTGTTCACCCAGCAGTGAATGGGTACCTGGTTGTTAAACGATTTGGATGGTCAAATTCGAGAGAAAAATTAGAATTAAGGAGTTGCCCGTAACGCTACGTGCTAGTGGCTGTACAAGAATGTAAGAACTCTTGTATATAAACAAAACAAAAATAGTACACTACACTATAGTACACCTAAACAATAGTACACCTGCACAGTATGAACACTGTAAAGACTTTCACAGTGCCGCAGAGTCGTTACAAGGTACACGACACACTTCTCAAACACACACGTTACACGGCACAACACTTCTACATAAACACTGAATTGTTTTTCTAAATATTTATTTACACAAGCACATCACTTCACTTATACAACGACTAAACAGTCACATAAACACACTAAAGGGGGCATTCAATGGTACACAAGCACATCTCTACAACACACTGAAATACACTTATACAGTGAGACGCGGAGAACTAATCTTTACCACACTGGAGTAGGGGAGCTGAAGGTGGAAGACAACCACATATAAACGTTGAAGGGAGTCAACAGTGGGAAACTGGTAATGTTCTAAATGGGAAATATTAGTACTGGAGCCACCTTCCCTGCACCCAACTCTACCAGTGTGCCACACATGTGGCGAGGGGGGCCACACATGCGTCATGGGCGCCACACATGCGTCATGAGGGCCACACATGCGTCATGAGGGCCACACATGCGTCATGAGGGGCACACGCGTCATGAGGGGCACACATGCGTCATGGGGGCCACACATGCGTCATGGGGGCCACACATGCGTCATGGGGGCCACACATGCGTCATGAGGGCCACACATGCGTCATGAGGGCCACACATGCGTCATGGGGGCCACACATGCGTCATGGGGGCCACACATGCGTCATGGGGGCCACACATGCGTCATGAGGGCCACACATGCGTCATGAGGGCCACACATGCGTCATGGGGGCCACACATGCGTCATGAGGGCCACACATGCGTCATGGGGCCACACATGCGTCATGAGGGCCACACATGCGTCATGGGGGCCACACATGCGTCATGAGGGCCACACATGCGTCATGGGGGCCACACATGCGTCATGAGGGCCACACATGCGTCATGGGGGCCACACATGCGTCATGGGGGCCACACATGCATCATGAACGTTTTCACCATCAGAGTTGTAACAAATATAAATGAGTACATGTGAGTAGAATACACAGACTAGCGTCTATAACACAGACACTACACTGTATAACACAGACACTACACTGTATAACACAGACGCCACTGTATACCCCAGACGCCACACTGTATAACCCAGACGCCACACTGTATAACCCAGACACTACACTGTATAACCCAGACACTACACTGTATAACACAGACACTACACTGTATAACACAGACACTACACTGTATAACACAGACGCCACTGTATACCCCAGACGCCACACTGTATAACCCAGACGCCACACTGTATAACCCAGACACTACACTGTATAACCCAGACACTACACTGTATAACCCAGACGCCACACTGTATAACCCAGACACTACACTGTATAACACAGACGCCACTGTATACCCCAGACGCCACACTGTATAACCCAGACGCCACACTGTATAACCCAGACACTACACTGTATAACCCAGACACTACACTGTATAACCCAGACGCCACTGTATAACCCAGACGCTACACTGTATAACTCAGACGTCACACTGTATAACCCAGACGCTACACTGTATAACACAGACACTACACTGTATAACACAGACGCCACTGTATACCCCAGACGCCACACTGTATAACCCAGACGCCACACTGTATAACCCAGACACTACACTGTATAACCCAGACACTACACTGTATAACCCAGACGCCACTGTATAACCCAGACGCTACACTGTATAACTCAGACGCCACACTGTATAACCCAGACGCCACACTGTATAACCCAGACGCCACACTGTATAACCCAGACGCCACACTGTATAACCCAGACGCCACACTGTATAACCCAGACGCCACACTGTATAACCCAGACGCCACACTGTATAACCCAGACGCTACACTGTATAACCCAGACGCTACACTGCATAACCAAGACGCTACACTGTATACCCCAGACGCTACACTGTATGACCCAGACGCTAGACTGTATGACCCAGACGCTACACTGTATAACCCAGACGCTACACTGTATACACCAGAAGCTACACTGTATAACCCAGACGCTACACTGTATACCCCAGACGCTAGACTGTATGACCCAGACGCTACACTGTATAACCCAGACGCTACACTGTATACCCCAGACGCTACACTGTATAACCCAGACGCTACACTGTATACCCCAGACGCTACACTGTATACCCCAGACGCTAGACTGTATGACCCAGACGCTACACTGTATGACCCAGACGCTACACTGTATAACCCAGACGCGACACTGTATATCCCAGACGCTAGACTGTATGACCCAGACGCTACACTGTATACCCCAGACGCTACACTGTATGACCCAGACGCTACACTGTATACCCCAGACGCCACACTGCATAACCCATACGCCACACTGCATAACCCAGACGCCAAACTGCATAACCCAGACGCCACACTGCCTGCATAACCCACACGCTACACTGTATACCCCAGACGCCACACTGCATAACCCATACGCCACACTGCATAACCCAGACGCCACACTGCATAACCCAGACGCCACACTGCATAACCCAGACGCCACACTGCATAACCCAGACGCTACTCTGTATACCCCAGACGCCACACTGCATAACCCATACGCCACACTGTATACCCCAGACGCCACACTGCATAACCCATACGCCACACTGTATACCCCAGACGCCACACTGCATAACCCATACGCCACACTGCATAACCCAGACGCAACACTGCATAACCCAGACGCTACACTGTATACCCCAGACGCCACACTGCATAACCCATACGCCACACTGCATAACCCAGGCGCTACACTGTATACCCCAGACGCCACACTGCATAACCCAGACGCTACACTGTATACCCCAGACGCCACACTGTATAACCCAGACGCTACACTGTATAACCCAGACGCCACACTGTATAACCTAGACGCTACACTGTATACCCCAGACGCTACACTGTATGACCCAGATGCGGTTCTTTAAAACTCTAGCAACTTGAAGGCGAGGTTTGACAAGCTCAGGCAACAGGTCACTCACAACTCATCACCAGGACCAGGCGTCAACAAGCTCAGGCAACAGGTCACTCACAACTCATCACCAGGACCAGGCGTCAACAAGCTCAGGCAACAGGTCACTCACAACTCATCACCAGGACCAGGCGTCAACAAGCTCAGGCAACAGGACCAGGCGTCAACAAGCTCAGGCAACAGGTCACTCACCACTCATCACCAGGACCAGGCGTAAACAAGCTCAGGCAACAGGTCACTCACCACACATCACCAGGACCAGGCGTAAACAAGCTCAGGCAACAGGTCACTCACCACACATCACCAGGACCAGGAGTCAACAAGCTCAGGCAACAGGTCACTCACCACACATCACCAGGACCAGGAGTCAACAAGCTCAGGCAACAGGTCACTCACAACTCATCACTTGCACCACATTAAAAACAGGGAATTTATCTAATATGAATTAATATTAAAATTATAATATATTAGCATATTGCGCATAAATAGGCATAGGTTAGGTTAGGTGTTTAGGGTTTGTTGGCGATTATTTGTATTTGTAGTGCGTGGGTGAAGCATTTACAGCGTTGTGGTTCGAACAAAATTCGTCAGTGAAGCACTTGTTCCGGAAGTGTTCGAACGAAAAAAGTTGTGAGTCGTGTGTAAACGTTTTTCATTCATAAACAGGGGGGTTGAAGGGTACATGGAATCACTTTTAGGTCTTTTGGAGGACGAGCTGGGGGTCGACAGCTGGATGGAATGGACTCGGTCTGAGGACGGGTTGCATTCAGAGGTGAAATTCGAACACGGCTAGACAAAGAAGCACTGTTTATTTATTTATTTATTTATTTATTTATTTATATATATACAAGAAGGTACATTGGGTTTGTGAGAATACATTGGATAGTACAGTATTTACATTCTTGTAAAGCCACTAGTACGCGCAGCGTTTCGGGCGTTTCGTTTTTTTTGTTCAAAAAAGTTCGAATGTAATCGGTTGTTATTCTTTTGTAAAGTGTTTTTTTCAGCTGGATTGACGAACATTTGGTCATTGTTTATGAGAACGGGCGGCCAGGATGCCACTAGAATGACACAAAATTGACTCAATACAGAACCAGGACACGCAAGTAGGGACCAAGACTCAACAGTACAGCAACCCGTCCTCGACTCAAGTCTATTACATCCAGCGGTCGACCCCACAGACGCATTCATAAATTTTAATATGCTGTTCATTCAAAACGGGAATTTTCTCAAGGATAAATTAATATTATAATATATTAGCATATTGTGTATATATAGGCATAGGTTAGGTTAGGTTAGGTGTTTAGGTTCTGTTGGCGATTATTTGTATTTGTAGTACGTGGGTGAAGCATTTATAGCGTTGTGATTCGAACAAAATTCGTCAGTGAAACACTTGTTCCGAATATGTTCGAACGTCAGCAGTTGTGAGTCGTATGTAAACCGCTTTTCATTCATAAACAGGGGGTTTGGCGGGTGCATGGAATCACTTTTGGATCTTTGTTTGGAGGACGGGCTGAGTACAGACACAAGACTCTCCAGTAGAGACACAAGCCTCACCAGTACAAAGACAAGACTCACCAGTACAGACACAAGACTCACCAGTACAGAGACAAGACTCACCAGTACAGACACAAGACTCAGCAGTACAAAGACAAGACTCAGCAGTACAGACACAAGACTCACCAGCCAGTACAGACACAAGACTCACCAGTACAGACACAAGACTCACCAGTACAGACACAAGACTCACCAGTACAGACACAAGACTCACCAGTACAGGCACAAGACTCACCAGTACAGACACAAGACTCAGCAGTACAGACACAAGACTCACCAGTACAGACACAAGACTCACCAGTACAGACACAAGACTCACCAGTACAGACACAAGACTCACCAGTACAGGCACAAGACTCACCAGTACAGAGACAAGCCTCACCAGTACAGACACAAGACTCACCAGTACAGGCACAAGACTCACCAGTACAGACACACGACTCACCAGTACAGACACAAGACTCAGCAGTACAGACACAAGACTCAGCAGTACAGACACAAGCCTCACCAGTACAGACACAAGACTCACCAGTACAGGACCCGACACATGCGCTGCCTCTTGGGGATGAGACGCTATGATGAGGACATGGCTGCCTCGCCGACTCTCTCGAAACTCCGCGTTATCAGCTCTTATCAGCTAGTTGGCGGTGATAGTTGATTCCCAGCCTCAGTGCGTGAACGGGAAGCGTTATAACTCACTTGTGCGTGTGACTATGATCGTATGTTGCCAAACTTAGTTGATATCTGTATAAATAAAAATGGAAATGTTCGTTTGTTCAAAATCGCTAATCTCCGAAAGTTCTTCACCGATTGCTTTGAAATTTTCACACAACGTTCCACTCGCATCCGAGCAGGTTTATATATACATACTCTATAAATGTCATGTGTGTGACGGTAAAAAAAAAAAACATGCTTTTTCGGAAAAACTGGGTTTTTCATGTGTTTTTCTTGTGCGGGAAATCTTCGAAACCTCTTTACCGATTGCTTTGAAATTTAGCGCGTCTTTTTATATATCAACTATATACATGCCTCACCTGTGACAGGAAAAAACAAGTTTGTTTTTTTAAACAGCGCCATCTGTTGGACGTAAGAGCAACACACACTGTAATCTCCGAAAGTTCCTCACCAATTGCTATGAAATTTTGACACAACGTTGCATTCGAATAAGCGCGTCTTTTTATATACCTACTATATAGATGCCACCCCTGTGACAGGTAAAAACAGGCATTTTTGAAAAACAGCGCCATCTGTTGCACATAATGGCAACATGCACGCTATACTAAATATGTCACAAATTCCATTTCAATGTTTCCGATTGCATTGATAAATTTAATTTTCATAGATTTCGATTTATTTTTTGTATTGAATTTATTTGTGTGACATTGTGTTGGAATTGAGCTGTGTTGTTTACCATACCGTTCATTTCGTAAGTATATGTATAGATGCCACACCTGTGACAGGTAAAACAATGCTTTTCTTGAAAAACAGCTGTTGCATGTAAGAGCAACACACTTGCTGTACTAGATATGTTACAATTCCATTTCAATGTTTTTGATTGCATTGATAAATTTAATTTTCCTAAATTTTCATAGATTTTGATTTGTTTCCATTTTGATTTAATTATTTTGTGTGAATTGCATTGGAATTGAGCTGTGTTGTTTACCAGACCGTTCATTTTGTGAGTATAGTTTATTTTTATATTTTTTCATATTTTCATTTCATTTTTTATCTGTTTTTTTATATATCAGTGATGGGAACATCAGATCACTTGATGTTCCCAATTTTCTAATGGGAACATCAGACCATTTGGCAAGGCATTGGACGAGGGAGTGGGGAATGATGGGGATGATGAGGGGACGGAAGTGAGAGATGGTGGGGAGGACGAGGGGACTAGGGAGGGGGTAATGGTGGGGAAGGAGGAAGGGACAAGGAAGTTTGGGATGGTGGGGACGAGGGGAATGGAGATTTTTGGGGAAGACAAAGTGACAGGGAAGTGGGGCATGGTGGGAAGGAAGAGGGGATGGTGGAGTGGGGAATGGTTGGGAGGCCGAGGAGACGGGTGAGGGGGGAATGGTGTGGAGGACTGGGGGACAGGGAAGGTTGCTGTGGCATAGCAACGCATGGCCGGGTACTGCTAATATATATATATATATATATATATATATATATATATATATATATATATATATATATATATATATATATATATATATATATATTGTGACGGTAACGCGTTGGTGTTCGGCTGTTTAAGGCTAGGGGTATGGCCTCGTCACATAGTTATAAAAAAAAATAGAAAAAACTGGAACTTCGTCTGTGGTAAGGTAAGGAGAAGACACACAAAACACAAGTAAACTTTAACAATGAAATTTTAATTACGTTAAATAAATCAAAACATGAAAAAATGGACAAACAAATTTGTATAATAAAATCAATCAATCAAAATAATAAGAATAATTAAATGACACAATGAAAAGTTACGTTAAGATAAAATAACAAGAAGTGGAAACACAAAATAGAGGGAAGGTGCTGGAATATTGGCTTTAAGCTACCACCTCTCTCAGTACATGCTAACGTCTAGCCGGGAGGAGTGGTAACCACGAAAGCACTGAACATTCTGAGGTCTGAGGTCGTGGCGACCCCAGACATCAAGTAGTATGGGGGGGCGAGTGCAGTTGCAGCCAGACCGGCGACCAATCAGCGGAGCCGGTAGCGATCAACAGGTAGTTTGGCGGTTTGAGTCTGAACAGGTGTCTCTGGCTGCAACGTTTTGCGCTCTGGCAAACCTTGCTGGTGTTGTTGTCGTTGTTGGACATTTCTTCCATAGTAGTTTTATATAATTTCAACGACGTAATTGTGGAGGGAAGAGCAGGCTCAATCTCTTGAAGGAGATTATCGTCACAACTCTCCCCCGAAGCCTGCGGTTCTGGAAGAAGTACGTCGTTATGTGGTGGAGTAATGGATGGAGTCGCTTCTACTTCATAAACTCTGGAGAGATCATGGGCTAAGATGTTGTCAGACTCTTGGTATAGCGTGTCTCCAGGTTGAATTTCTGCAGTTAGCAAGCCCATAGTAGAAGACGTTGAGATGAGAAGTGGGCGTGCTGCAGGAGGTATAGGGTGGTGTGGTCCGTGTTGATGGTGGACCGAGCACTTTTCAGGTGTGGAGTGAAGTGCTGAAGCTTCAGGATGAGGAAGAGTAGCTCCTTGCCAATTGTTCCGTAGATCCTTGTAGCAGTAGTCGCTGACAGGTGTATTCTTCTCGCCTCGTTGCTGCATCACGACACCACCAACGTCGGTACCATTGGCGTCGACATGGAGGATGAAGGGCTTATCTGACGAGGTGAGAGTGGAATTAGAAGAGGGCAAAGGAGCACGATTATTATCCTGAAAGCATTTGGGAAGATCATTAAGGATTTCGGAATTAGAAAGCGCCGACTCCTTGTCAGTGCTTTCGGGAGGAGAAGCTGGGATGGTCTCACTGTGGATGTAGGGTTCTGTGAAGGTGGAATAGTTAGTTAGGACAGTGGGAGGAGTACCATTATATTGCTTCAGGAGGTTGACGTGGCACAGCTGGGTCTTCCGCCGCCTATCTGGAGTCTCTATTACGTAGTTGTTATTATTCCTGCACTCTTTGACGCAGTAGGGTCCTGAAAACCTGTTTTGTAAAGGTGAACCTGGGATAGGGAAATAGGCAAGGACGAAGTCTCCCGGCTTGAATTTTCTTACTTTGCTGGTCTGGTCGTAATGAGTCTTCATTCTCACCTGGGCTTTCAATAGATTATCATGGGCAAAGCGGTGGACTCTCTCTAGAATGTGTTGAAGGTTTTCAAGAAACTGGGGCACATTCTGATGATCACTGAAGGTGGCATCTCTGAGAGAGTCTTTGAAAGCCTTAAGGGGAGTACGGCACTTACGGCCGTAGAGCATCTCATAAGGAGATACTCCTAGGGACTCATTGGGGAGACTTCTGAAAATACACATTATAAGGTCAATCTGCTTATCCCAATCCTTCGAGGTTTCACTACAAAACTTTTTCAAGAGTGCTTTGATGGTCTGATGACTACGTTCAAGAGAACCCTGTGAAGCAGGATGATAGGGGCTGGACAATACCTGTTTGATGTTGAACTCCTCCAGTGTCCTTTTGAAGAGATCACTGGTGAAGTTGGTACCACAGTCACTTTGAATCTCCCTGGGAAATCCGTATTGAGTGAAGATCTTCAATAGATGTTTGATAACCGTAGCAGCCGTGATGTTCTTCACTGGAACTGCTATGGGAAATCTGGTGGTAGGACACAGGATGGTTAGGATGTAGGCGTTACCTGAACTGGTCCGAGGTAAAGGACCAACACAGTCTATTATGAGTCTGTGGAAAGGTTCCGCAGGCACCTGTATGGGAATCAGTGGTGCTCTGGGAATGGAGACGTTCGGTTTGCCTGCCATCTGACATGTATGACACTGTTTTACGTACTGTTTGACGTTATTTACCATACCTGGCCAGTAGTAGTCTTGACGAATCCCATGGTAAGTCTTGTTGAAGCCGTAGTGGGAGAATGCTCCGTGGGCCAGGTGTAGAATAGTGGGCCGCAGGCTGGTGGGAATCACAAGTTGTTCGATGTTGGCCCAATCGTCCTCCTCCTTCAGTTTACTGGGTCTATATCTGCGGTAGAGCAAGTCGTTCTCTAGGAAGAACCCAGGAATACTGTCGGGTTGAGTCTCAGCCTGGAAAAACAATGGTGTTAAAGTAAGATCTTCCCTCTGCAACTTACGGAACTCCAACTTGGTCAGATGCGGGGGTAGTTTCTGAGGGTCTTGAGGGACAGCGGTAGCAGTAGAGTCAGCTGGCTGTGGACGTGCGGCTTGTGCACGGGTGGTCACGAGAACCGGAGGAGAAACTTCATCACTCTCTTGAACCTCTGCTGGAACATACTCTAGAATAGGGTTTATTGGCACAGAGTTACACACCTGGGGTTTGTCCATGACGATCAGGTTGGTCGGTTGCAGGTCTTCTGCCAAGTCGTTGCCTAGGAGAAGTTGCACTCCAGGCATGGGAAAAGGCTTTTCCCTGACGGCGACTTGGACTTCCCCGTTCACGTAGGGACAATCCAGGTGGACTCTGGCGAGAGGGTATGGAGTGGTAGCAGTGAGGTCAGTGATGAAGACAGTTTCTCCGGTGTAGACGATGTTGGGCACAGCCGACTTCAAGATGATCGATTGTAGAGCCGCTGTGTCCCTCAAGATCTTCAATTTGAAACGTCCCTCCGGATTTGAACCGTTGGCAGAGACAGTTCCAGTATACAGGTGGTTACTGAAAAGAGAAAGATCATTAACATCAACACCAACATTCATCACAGGCTTACCGGACTTAGGAGGAGTTGGTTTGGGTCTTTGTTGGTCAGTGGTTCCCTTGTATTGAGACTTACCACACTTGTCTATGGTATGTCCATAGAGTCTACAATACTTGCAGTACAGTTGTGAACCAGCTTGATCGGGGCTCACCTTCTCGTAACTGTACCACGACTTCTTACTGGAGGATGGTTCGGGTGTCAGCCGGTGGATGAGGCTGTAAGTGTCAGCCGACTTAGCACACTTCAGGTAGTCGGTTTCTTCTTTATCTGCTAAGTAGAGGCGGACAGGAGGTGGCACACGTCTCA